ATGGCAACAACTACATTCCAATCAATAAGTACCTTAAATGGAAAAGAATTAAGTGCTCCAACCAAAAGATAGAGTGGCTGAAAGGATAAGAAAACAAGATCCCTACATATGAAAAGAAAGAGGATGGAAAAAGATATTGCTTTGATGGAACTAGAAGGTATTTAAGTCAGACAGAGAAAGATAAATGCTATATGATTTCACTAATATGTGGAATTTAAAGAATAAAAAGAACAAACTAATCAAAAACAGACTCACAAATATAGTGAGCAATTTGCTTTACATCCCTCCCAGGTTTGGTACGGTTAGTGTTTTAGATTTTGGCCATTCTAATAGGTGTGAAGTAGTATCTAATTTTTTCTTTTGTTTTTTAAAATGAAGACTTTAAATTTTTAGAAAAGTTTAAGGTTCGCAGCAAAATTGAGAGGAAGGTACAGAAATTTCCCATATACCCCTACACATGTATAGCTTCCCCCAATATAAACATCCCCCACCAGACTGGTATACTTGCTACAATGGATGAACTTAAATTGACACATTATTATCATCCAAAATCCATCATTTTATCTTGGGGTTCACTCTTGGTATTGTATATTCTATAGGTTTGAACAACTACATAATGACATGCATCCATAATTATGGTATCATATAGAGTATTTTCACTGCACTAAAAATCTTTTGTGCTCTGCCTATTTATCCCTTCCTATATCTCCCAACCCTTGGCAACCACGGTTCTTTTTCCTGTCTCCACAGTTTTACCTTTTCCAGAATGTCATATAGTAAGAATCATACAATAGGCAGTTTTTTTCAGATTGAACTCTATCACTTAGTGCATTTAAGGTGTCTCCATGTCTTTTTACAGCTTGATAGTTTTGTTTTGTTTTTAGCACTGAATCACGTTCCATTGTCTGGATGTATTACAGTTTATTTATCCATTCACTTACCAAAGGCCATCTTGGTTGTTTCTAAATTTTGACAATTGTAAATAAAGCTGCTATAAACATCTCTGTGCAGAATTTTGTCTGGACATAAATTTTCAACTCCTTTGGGTAAATGCCAAGCAGCATAACTGTTGAATCATATAGTAAGACTATGTTCAGTTTTGTAAGAAATGCTAAATTGTCTTCTAAAGTAGCTGTACTATTTTGAATTCCCATCAGCAATATATACAAGTTCTTGTTGTTCCATATATTTGTCAGCATTTAATGTTGTCAGTGTTCTGGATTTTGGCCATTCTGGTAGGTGTATAATGGAATCTAACTGTTGTTTTAATTTGCACTCCCTGATAACATATGCTATAGAGCACCTTTTCATATGTTTATTTGCCAACTGTATATCTTCTTTGGTGAGGTGTCTGTTAAGATCTTGGTCCATTAATCAGGTAGTTTGTTTTCTTATAGTTGAACAGTTAGAGTTCTTTGCATATTTTGGATATCCTTTATCAGATATGTCTTTTGAAAATATTGAACCCAACCTGTCTTTTCTTCTCATTCTTTGACAGTATCTTTCACAGAGAAGAAGTTTAATTTTTAATGTTAGTGAAGTCCAAGTTAACAATTATGTCTTTCATGGATCATGCCTTTGGTGTTGTATCTAAAAAGGCATCATCATACCCAAGGTCATCTAGATTTCTTCTACGTTATCTTCTAGGAGTTTTATAGTTTTCTGTTTTACACTTAGGTCTATGATCCACTTGAGTTAATTGGTATGAATGGAGTAAGGTTTATATCCAGGTTCACATTTTCGAATGTGGATGTTGAATTTTTCCAGTACTCTTTGCTGAAAAGACTGTCTTTTGTCCATTGTATTCTCTTTGCTCCTTTGTCAAAAATCAGTTGACTATATTTATGTGGTTCTATTTCTAGTCCCTCTATTCCATTCCGTTAATCTACTTTTCTATTCTTTCACCAATACCACACTGTCTTACTGTGTCTGTACTGTCAGTCATGAAGTTTTATAGTGTCAGTCTTCTGATTCTGTTCTTCTCCTCAATATTGAATTGGCACTTCAGGGTCTTTTGCTTCTCCATATAAACTTTGGATTCAGTATCTAAAGTTTGCCAATATCCAAAAACAACTTGCTGGGATTTTGATTGGGATGGCATTGAATATATAGATTAAGTTAGGGAGAACTGACATCTTAATAGTATTGAGTCTTCTTCTTCATGAACATAGAATATCTTTCCATTTATTTAGGTCTTCTTAGATTTCTACCATTAGAGTTGCATAGTTTTCCTCCTAAAGATCTTGTACATATATGTGAGATTTATACTTGAGTATTTTATTTGGGGGGAGTACTAATATAAATGTAATTGTTCTTTTTTTTTTCATTTTTCATCTACTTATTACAAAGAAAACACCAGATTACTTACATCACCATTGTTCCAGAAATGTCCTTCATGTCCCTTCTAGTCATTTATTCCTTTCAAAGGAAACCACAGTCTTTTGGGGGGAAGTCATTTCCTTGCTTTTATTTATAGCTTTATCACTGAAAGAAACATCGCTAAGTCCTAGAGTTTGGTTTTGCCTGCTTTTCAAACTTTATATATATGACATCACACCATATGTATTCTTTTGTCTGGATTCTGATGCTTAGTTTTATGTTTGTGAGACTCATTCCTGTTGTCACATGGAGCTGGTAAGTTGTTCATTTTCATTGTCATAAAGTCGCCCCATCTGGTTAAAAATTATTAGCTGTGATCTATTCTCATCACATTACAATATCTGAAGGGATTGTATATTTTTCTATTTCTTTATAAAGAAAGGAAAGAAACAAAAATTTGAGTATCTGCTTTAGACACAAACAATTCTGAATGTTTGTGGAAGAAGAAAGTGAGTGTGTTACATGCATGTGCTTCTTAACTGTGTTTTTTATTTTAAATTCCACTTGGTCGTTGCTGGTATACAGAAAGCAATTGACTTCTGTATGTTAAGCACATATCACACGACTTTCCCATAATCTCTTATTGGTTTCAGGAGTTTTTTTGGTCAATTCTTTCAGATTTTCTACACAGACAATTATGTCATCTGTGAACAAAGAATATTATTTCTTCCTTCCCATTCTATATATCTTTTTATACTAGTTTACTAGGACTGCCAAAACAAAATACCACAGACTGGATGGCTTAAAAATAAATTTATTTTCTCATGGTTTTAGAGCCTGGAAGTCCAAGATGAAGGTTCCAGCAGATTTGGTTTCTTCTGAGGCCTTTCTCCATGGCTTGCAGACAGCCACCCCCTGACTCCCTTTTCACATGGACATCCCATGGTGAACAGGCACCCCTGGTGTCTCTTTGTGTTTCATAATCTCCTCTTCTTATGAAGACACCAGTCAGATTTTACTAGAGTCCACCAAGGGCTTTATTTTAATTACCTCTTTGAAGGCCCTATCTCCAAATACAGTCACAAGCTGCAGTTCTGGGGGTTAGGGATTCAACATATGAGTTTTGAAAGATATAATCCAGTACACAACACTTTTATTTCCTTTTCTTGTCTATTGAGTTAGCTAATTCTTCCAACTGGCTATTAAAAGGTGTAGTGAGGGGGGGACATCCTCGCCTTATTCCTAACCTTAACTAGAAAGCTTCTAGTTTCTCACAATTAAATATGATCTTAGCTATAGGGTTTTTTGTTGTTGTCGTAGATATTCTTTGTCAAGTTAAAGGAATTTTCCTGTATTCCTAGTTTGCTGAGAGCTCCTTTACTTTTTATCTGTTTGTACCATTACCACACACATCATTCAAGTTCAAAAATGATCAGACACACCACCTTTGGTATACTTTCCTCATACTAATCAAATATGTTCTGTGTGTTTTACCTGTAATTTCTCAAATCAGACTTTTTTCATTTAAATTGACATACTTTAAGTGCACATCAATAATATAAATGGATACAGCAGTTCCCTAACTTCAATCTTAACCCCTTTTAAATATGTCTTCCATGTAGCCCTAAGGACACTTTCTGATTACCAACCACCTGCCCTCAGAAACCCTACCTTGCAATCTCTATGTTTATCTTTGGCATACAAATTTATGAATTTTAGTTGTCCAAGGATGTGACTCACACTAAATTGTAAGCTCCCTAAAAGAATGAGGTTATTTATACCTGAGCCTACCATAAGAAGAGAACATATTACACAGGTAGTCAATAAAATTAATCAAATAAATATTCAGATGTATAGATGAGTAAATCTGGATCACAATCTATTTTGATGACCGCCTTGCTTCTATACAATTATTAAATATTCCTTACAACAATTAAAACAGGAAAAAAATAATGAAGAGGGAAAGATTGTTGAAAAATGTTTGCATGTCTCTATATCCCACTTTAGTTCTTTATATATGATGAATCAGCAATTAACAATGCTTTAGATTACTCCACAATATCTGATGCACTGAATATGTAATTTTCCAATTTAATGTATATAGTGAAGACTACTTATTGTTTGTTTCTTATTATTGCTTCTTCCTCTTGATATAACACATAAAATACTTGTTTCAAAGTGAAAATTCAATAACTATTTAACATGATAGAGAAATAAAATTTGGAAAATATGTTATTTAAAAAAATAAGTTGGGCATTATTGTCAATTATCAATGATTGTGTGTAAGTGCAGGAGCAATTCCAAAGACAAGCACCAGACAAAATATGGGTTAAACACTATAATAAAGTATAAACAGAATGTTCAGCAGTATGCCATAAAAATAAATAGAAATCAATTCTGTGAAATAAAATGTTATTTGAAATCAGTGGGTGGGTTCACCTTGAAGAATGTTTCTCTAATGTCCACAACATCACTAGTACCCAGGACATTCAGAATTAACAATGTTTCGGGGGGTGGGGGAGCGGGAGAGTAATAATGAGAAGAAATAAAGGGTATAATACCTTGAAAAAGCTCCTTATAGTATTTTTGTGATGTTCAGGAGAATAACTTTCATTAACAGCCACAAGGAGTATGAAATAAATAGCTACAATACCTTTGGTGGAAGAGAAATAATAATCAAAGAATAGTACTTTTCTTCTCTAAAATTTTTTTTAGAGCCTCTTTGACATCTTTGTTTCTCAGAGAATAAATCAAAGGATTCAACATGGGAGTGACTAGGGTGTAACATAAGGAGGCCACTTTACTCAGCTCAGGAAATCTGTCGGGAGTGAGATACATAAAAAAGACAGCACCATATAATACACTCACGACTCCTAGGTGAGAGCTGCAAGTGGAGAAGGCTTTCTTTCGTCCTTCACTGGAGTGTATCTTTAGAACAGTGGACACAATATACATGTAAGAAACAATAATAACTATGATGGTAGGCAAAATAATGATGCTAGATAAGAAAAAAGAAATCATTTTATAGATAAGGAGGTCAGAACAAGATAGTCTCTGAAGTGGGCGAGTATCACAGTAAAAGTGGTCAATGGCCCGAGAAGAACAAAAGGATAAAGTAAACGTCATGCTGGTTTGAAGAACTGAGCTGATGCAGCCACAAAAATAGGAACCAGCCACCAGCTGAGTGCAGAGACGTGTTGACATCTGGACAGAGTAGAGGAGTGGGTTGCAGATGGCAATGAAGCGGTCATAAGCCATGGCTGCCAGGAGAAATCCCTCAGTCACAATGAAGAGAGTAAAGAGAAAGAACTGGGTCACACAGCCTGCAAAGGAGATGGACTTGCTCTCAGACCAGAAGTTGATCATGGCCTTGGGGGCAATAACAGACGAGTAGAAGAGGTCAATGAAGGAGAGGTTGCCTAGGAAGAAATACATTGGTGTGTTCAGGTGGGGATCGGTCATAATAATGGCCATCATCCCAACATTCCCTAGAAGGACCATGGCATATACAAGTAGAAAAAGCAGGAAGAGGAGAATGTGGAGCTCTGGGCAGACCTGGAAGCCTACAAGAATGAAGTCAGTCACTTCTGAGAGATTGCTTGTTCCCCTGTCACCCATGGCAGAAACCTGCTGAGAGGCACAAGGCAAAATAAACAAATGAACCCTTGGCTTTGATCCTAGTTACAAACAATCTCTTAAAGTATTAGGATTCCGAAGCTATTTTATAATCATTATTCATTTTAACCTTATAAAATTACTGTGACAACTTTAAGCCAATACCAGCTGATGATGAATCAAAAAGTTAATTCCTAAAAGCAGTAGAATTAGATCTTTTCTTCTGAGTCTAATGTAATGTCATTCCACCCAAATTCCTTTCACATTGGCAACTATTGCTTCTGTAGACATTTATGACTCATGGTTTATATATAAATTCTGTCACAAAGCACTGACTGGAAGAAAGCATAAATAATTTAATAAATGATAGTTGGGAAGCAACTTTAATGTCTGTGTTTGGCAATATTAGGGGTTTCAGTAGTCTAGAAAAATTTAACTTCGAGGGTTTAATTTAGAGAACTAGCAGATATAAAGTAAGCTACTGAATTTAAAAACTACTTTTTTGTGAGTAATAGAAACTTTGGATTCTGATGTAACATATATTCACTAAGATAAAAGTTGTACCTAATCAAACACAAAAATTATTAGCACTCACATGCTAGAATTTCTCTCCCAGATGGGCTTCCAAAGCCTTTTCATAAAGATAATTTCCCTGAATTTCCTCAACTCATGTCTCATAGTATTTTAATAGGCCTACAGGTAGTGTAGATAAAAAGAATAACTTTAGAAATGAACACTGAACAAAAAGTGCATATGAAAGAATTGTTGACCACATCCTTATTTACCCTGGATATAACTTTCAAAGCCATAATTAATTCATTTACTAGACAGCTCAACTAAGAATTTGAACTCCTTATATTAACAATATGGATACTCCCTCTCTCCCCTTCATGTCTTTATATGCATGATTCTGACTAGACAATAATAATAGCAAATATTTATGTGGTGTCTTTTATATTCCAGATACTATTATAAATGCTTTATAGTAGTCTTTTAATCCATACAGTAATGAGGCGAGTATTATTATCTTCCCCAGTTTACGCATGAGAAAACTGGGTTACATGGAAATGAAGTCTATTGAAATCCACCTACTAGGATTGAAATCGGAATTCGAAACCTAGAAAGCTGGCTTTGAAGTCCATGCTCTTAATTACTGCACGACACCAGCTTTGACAACAAGCCTTTCTTATTCCTTTATCAGACTTACTTCTCTTTGAACTTTAGAGTTCAGCTAAAGTTCCTTATCTTCAAAATACATTCCCCAATTCAACCTGGGATAAAACATTTCTGCATACCTCATGTTCCCAGGGATAGTAGCTATTATGACCATATTGTAATATTAATAATTCCTCACTTGACAATAACTTCTTTAAAATCAAACTTCAACTTGTCCTCCATATATTGTCAGCATTATGTTCTGTGTCTCGCTAATGGCAATTGATCAATGCATATTTATTATATAGATAAAAGTTGAATGATATTTGAGCTTGCAGAATCAGAGAAAGACTTGAAAATTGCAGTACTGCAGTGGTTAGCACAGGTTTAGGTTTAAATAGAGGTTAAGTTCCAGTGATTCTTCTCTCATTTTCTAACTGGGACCTTGGACAAGTTACTCATATAACTTGCTTACATGGCTTATGTATCTTACTTAGGTTACTTAAGTTACTGATATAATTTTGGCAAGTTACTATACTACTATATCACTGTATCCTTATATAAAGGAGGGATAAAAACAATATAACCCTCAAAGTTTCCATGACAATATATATTGAGATAATGCATGTAAATCACTTCGCACTACTTATGACGAAGTACTCAATAAATATTAGCCATTATTATTTTTAGTATATCTTTTCATGCTCAATCTCACAATGCATACCAAAACAATCAGTGCTAATTAGGTTGAAAATTAATACTATGTATATGCACTTTTTTGGATAAACCATTCAAAGTTTAGAGAAGGAACCAGAGAAACTGTTAAGTTGTAAAGGGATATAGAAATCTGAGAGAAGTAGAATATTTTGCTTGAGACAAAGAAAATTTACAGGAAAATGATATGATGCCTTATTGTTATAGCTTTGTGATTCACCAGCTCCATCAAAAATTAAACATGCAAATCATTGTATTATAAAGGAGTAAGATTTTAAATAGATCATACTTAGAGTCTGAGAAGGTGTACAATATTTAAGCAATGAAAGAGAGCCTGAAGTAGTTGTGAGGTATTTTTTGAAAAATAGTATATTTTATTTATATTCTTTTAATCTTCCCTAGGGGCAAGGATGCAGGTCATTTTAATTTCTAAGATTTATTCCTATCAAACTCATTTTAATGTTAATAAGTTTATGACAGAAGACCTTAATACCTAGAAGAGAGTTTTTCCCAGAGTAGCCAATAAACAAGTAGTCAGTTTGTGACTTATTATTTGTCAAGAATTCACATGTTATAAAATTTACTCTTACCTTGTTCAGTAATTAGATTCTGTAAAATGAAGCAGCAGTATTCCAATGTTTTCTTCTTATTATTTTAATTCTAGAAAGGGTAAACATAAAGTTAATTAATACTGTTACAACTATAAGTACTGAAAAATCAGTCAAGATAAAATGAACCCTTCCCCTTCCAAATTTCCAAATGCATGTTCATTATCCCAGTTTTATATTCTTCCCATACATAAATTTGACTTATTTTCCTATTGCTCTTCTTAAACAACTGTCCTTTCCATTAGTAGTTATTTCTTGAAAAATGCTGTAGTCCTTTGTAAACGAGAGACAAGGTGAATTTTACAAATGATGCTCTGCTAAAACTGAAATAAACCCAGGAATTATATTCTATAGTTATGCAAACTATAGTGAACCTGAGGAATTAATCAGCAGGATAGCCTCTCTCCTGCATTCTGAGATGTTTGGATGCTTTTAAAGAAGGAAAGTAGATTATATTGGATATGTAAGCAGAGGCCATGGCCCATCTGGAATCTCCGATAATATGCCAAAATATCAGCAGCACTTATCCATAATGACTTTGGTACTGGCATAACAGTGTATTCTTTTCAAATAATTACAGCATTGAGGTTTCCCTCACCTTCTGGGAGATAATCCTCCCCAGAGAGAGAGAAGTATAAGTTATTAAAGTATCTAGGCTCTAGAGCCAAGGTCCATGAGGGCCGCAGAGGCCCTTGCTTTAAAAAGAAGAAAAGAAAGAAAAGAAAAAGAGTCTAATAGGAGTCAAAAGGCATATGAGTTGTTTTCTTTTCTTGCAGCATGAATCCTTTGGGAGGGACCAAAAGGATCTTTCGATCTTAACTTCTTCACTAAAAAAGAAGCATTTCAATTTATCATGACAGAAAGGTTTTGATAGGCAAATAGAAATAAGTATGAAAGGAAATATTATCCTTCATAACATAATTTGTGGGGAAAGTTTTGTTCCTACTCAAAGTTCATTTCGTTTACCCCAAAATTCTCCAGAGTTATTCTCCAGCTACTTTTTGTCAATAAATAAGTAGAATACCATGCCTCAATAGGGGGCAAAGCCCAACGAATGCTCTCTAACTCATTAAGTTTATCGGAAAAAATTCTGAAATGTCTTAAATTAAATCATAGCAGGCCAAAGGGTAGGAGGAAGAAACAAGTGAAGTTAATTAGTTAGCTGCCCTAGGTCAAAAACAAGGAAAGACTGCCCACTGAATGTATGTTGAACCTTGAATCAACTTCTAGACGGCTATTTCAGCAATTAGTCAAAAAGAATAGCCAACCACCAGCATGCCATTGCATCCTGTTTACTCATGAATTTTTCAAACTGTTGCCCACAATCCAGACACAAAATGTATTTCTTCTTATGGACTATTCACCTGTCCTAGACCTTTCCTTGCTTCTCTTTTTTCTGCCCCCTTTATCCATAGCCAATGAAAATTCTTTCAAAACAACTTACATCTTTCTTTCTGAAACTCTTTGTATAAAAGAGGCTGAAACCCCCAGGGCTGTGGACTCATCTTCTTTATCTAGCCTTCTATGCCCCAGGGCCTGGTCCTCCCTCTAGTTAGCATAAACTCTTTCTTTCAGGACGACTTTTGGTTTCAAAGATTTTTGTTTAACAAACTAAAATGTAAATAATGATTGACTAGATATAAGTCAGGCTCACTTATAACTTTAATTGCTTAAAAGTTATTTATCTAAGTATCATGTATTACATTAATAATTTCTCAAAGGTCACTGTATATACTAAAAATAAATTTTAAACCTGTTCTATATCAGCCAAAAACATCTCAATGTGTTTTTGATAAAAATTCAATCATTAAGCTATGCATCCTGAAATTATACCCGTTAAGAATATTTTCCTTACCAGTGTCCTTTAAAGAACAACCTTTAATTGGACTAGTCTGCAGCAGTAGTCCATTTCCAGTTGCTCATATTATATGCAGCATCATCTATAAACATGGCTCAGTTTATTTTTTTCCCCAGAAACTGTGAATAGAGGATATCCCACATGATCATAATGTAGGCTGAAAGAAGGTGGCAATGCTACAGGAGCAGTTACTGGAAATATGAACCAACTGCTTATAAAATTATTTCTGACCTCAAGATACATTCAAGCCAGACATCACATATACTACTTTCACTTAATCACCTAATATTTCTCTGTAATCCCAACTGCAGATTGACGAATCAGACACCAGTCAAGATATTAGTCATTTGGTTTCCATAATAAAGAGTACAATCTCTATCAAAGCCCAAGATAGGAGCTGTTTCTCAAAAGGATAACTTCCATAAAAACTGCTTTCCTCTAAATCCTGAGAAGCCAGTGCTCTTATTATCCAATCAGAGTTTGCCACAGTTTCTACGGAATATCTAATAGTCTATAAGAACTCAGAGCATTATTAGATATTTTTGTTCATAAGTTCCAAGTCACAATACTGTTTATTTTAAAGCCTAAACCAGCTGAAGAGCAATGACATTTTATGGACCCAGGTATAAAATCATGGCTGCACACACACTTAAGAAGCATTATATTCCCTCCAAAATTCAAAAATGCATTTAACTCTTCATAGCAAGTGTATGAATGGTTCAGCA